AACAATAATAATGAAAGATCAGTACGTTCAGACTATTATTTACTAATTTTCTTCGCCCACGTGCAATCCATTCCCTTGGCGATTTCGAGAAATCCTTCCTTAATGAATTCATAGCATTACAAAATAACTAAACATCATTATAATATAGAACTTAATGAAAAGACAAAGTTTCGTTAAAATTATCACAAAAACAATCTTTAAATCAAATTTAATTTTTAAAAACTCTACCCCCAGTGTTATAAAAAAGAAATTAAATTAGTAACAAATCTAAACATTTAATCGGTTTATCAACAATATGTTAATCGATTGAAATCGATACCACTGTTGGATAGCAGCAGACTGTCTTGTGATCGAAGTGATTATCCCTTTCTTTTTCTTCTTTTCTTTAAATTAATTTCATTTTCATTTTTTCTTTAAATTTTCTTTAAATTCTACTAGACTAGAAAAATTTATATACATGTAATATTAATAAACCTATATTGTTGTAAAACCGAGCTTCTAATATATTTTCGCTCCATACTAATTCATTTTCTAATAAAGAAAAGTTTTCATTGCAGTAGCAATTTTTTACCCCTAAATATAATCGGTCTGGGGTCGAGGGCTTTACGGTGCAAGTCTGTCTATAAATCCAAATTAATGATTCTGTGTTTTGTTACTTTTATATTAGGCCTTAAATTGCAAAAGTTATGTTTACGTATCGAGCTATTATTTTAACTTAGTACGCTAATATAAAATTAAAAGAGAAAACTTGAAATTCACTTTTGAAACAACCATAAAATTTAACTTATACTCGAATAATAAAAGTAATAATTTATAAATCAATATATATGATAATTTATTCGCTCTTAATTTATATAGTAAATATATTGATTGATTGAAATAAAAAGTAGTCGATGAATCTCTCCGTACCAAACACTACATGTTAATAAAATTCATGATGGATGGTTTAAATGCCAATTAATTTACCTTAAATTCTGTTTATAAAATTAAAGAAATAATTTAAGTTTTTTTTTTTAATGGGTGATAATAGAATGGTAGCCACACCCGCGCTATCGGTATACACCGGCGGGGCACCTTGAAGAATGATAGGTGAGAATGAAGCAGGTCAGATAGCCCATCGTAATGAATTCAACAAGAATTGTTCACGATGGTTTCCAGGGGGAACCACGTGGAGGACGATCTAATAGGGCATATTGTTAGCAATGGGGCTGTCAAACTCCATTGCTAACAATCCCTTTTCCCTCAAATCATCTAAGTATTCGGTGTTATTCTAATAATATTAAATATCTTTTATCTTTTTCTTTTCTCCTTTACCCAAAGGTTGTCTGGAAGAGATTGCTTTGGCGATAAGACTACCTTTTGTACCAATAGGTCCAATAAAGAATAAATAAATAAATATTATAAATGTAAATATTTTTTTTTTAATTTACCAAGTGTCTGTTTTAATATACTTAAAATAAGAGCTGTTACCAACTCAGCTAGTTAACTGTACTATAGTATCAAAATCTTAATTTTTTTTTATAATAATAATAATTAATTTATTTCCTTTAAATAGGTAAGGGTAAATAGGGTATCGGTGATCGGTGTTAAATAAAGTTTCTAAAGTCTATTTAACCATTTACAGAATAGCATGAAAATGTCACATTTTGGTAGGAACTGATCAATACATGCATTGGCAACAATAACAATACTATATGTTTATCTGTTCTTCCTAAAAAATCGTCCACTAAGTAAAAACATTGGTTAACTAGCCATTTACGAAATTTAATTTAAAATTTTTAACTTATTTCATCGATAAATATCGTACCATTTCGATGATATAACACTGCGATTTAAAAAGAATTTAAATTTACTGACCTTACTCTTGTAATGTGGCCACAAATCTTCCGGATAGTGAATTACGAGCGACGCCGTTTAACACATACCTTTTATCCGTCGAAGTGGACAGGGTTGTCAAATGTTGACCCCGATCAAATATTATATAATATTATAGAAATAAGTAATAAATATACTCTTCTAATTAATTGAATACACAGAAAAACCTCATGCAAATCATCATCGTCATCATCATTAATTCAGGCTGTATCTATTCACTGTTAGACATAGGGCCTCACTAATGCTTTGCAGCAAGTATAATCAATTTGCTTATCGTATCCATCCACTTCCGGTCTTCTTCTTAATATCATGGGTCCATCTATGTAGACTAAACCATGGAAAATTATCCAAAAGGCTTAATCGGTATTTATTAGAGCAAAGTTTCAGCGAGTACCAACAACTTAGTCATGTTAATTAACAGTGGTTTTATTTTAGAATAGAATGAATAGAATAGAAACATTTATTGCCAGTAAACATACAATTGCAATATAAAATATAGATAACATGTACAAAATGTGTTCCATACTAGGCAAAAGGAACCGGCTCAGCTGATGCTGTGAGTGTCCCAGCGCAATGTGAACAGCTGCACAGCGTTTGTTGGTTTTCAACCAGTAACAATAACAATAAGTTATATTATTCACTTTTATTATTTTCATCTGAAATTTCGAATTAATAATCATTTAATCTCTATAGCTTGGGAGTGTTTTTTCTAGCATTTTCTTCATTCTATTGTCTCAAATTCTTAAAAAAAAGCACTCAGTAATGGCTGGCATAGTGCAGTGAACCGTTAAAAGTAGAACATTTTCTTTCCGGTTGATCACATTCATAGACCATATTATTCCTGTGTTCACTTAGGATTAGGAGTATACACAACGTGCTGTAATAAACAAAGAAATACATATATACTACACATATTAATAGTGGCCAATAATGACTAAAATATTTTTTAAGTGTCAATTTTTGCTACAATTGCAGTAATTTTTTTTTTCACAATCGTACTAAATCTTTACTGCACTAGGGGTGTCACGTACGTCTTATTGATCTTGAAGTAATCTTAATACTTTGTTTTTATAAGAACTGTATACCATAGTCTGTAAAGAAAACCTCAGCAGGGATCAAATTTCATAACCAGAGCGTTCTCTGAGAGAACTCCTGTAAAATCGCATTGTACGCGATCACATGAATTTAAATTTTAACGAGAAGTCAATTTGTTTACCATACCAAATTGCAAAAAAATATTTCCTTTAAACACAATACGTATAGATACGTAATAGAATTCTATAATTAAAATTGTCGTATCACATATGTATTCTACCATAAGTTGATAGCATGGAAAATTCAATCATAACCTGACTCATATTTTTAAGCAACTTCGTTAAAATGTAATTAGATAAAAAACCTTATATATATATTCAAATGTTACATTCGAGAAACGCACATTTATAGAGGTTAAGAGAGACTATATATTTATATACTTTTTTCATTATATAGAGGTTAAAACTGTATATATTCAATATTTATGCAGCGCCATCTCTTGTGGTAACGGTAAACAAATATTGAACGTTGAAAATTCGAATACAAGATACAAAATTTGACGACAGATAGCATGAATTCTATCCAGTAGTCAAATAATGTTTATAGTTTATATGCGTATGTTACGCGATTTTTGCTAATTCTAAATCTTTCTTTTCTAATGTAAACATTTACTCCCGTATTGGTACTTAGGAATATTGATACAACTAAAATTACTTTTTTAGTGAAAAAAGATATACATGTATATTGCCTATTCCAATTTTAATATTGACTTTTTTTTTTATCAATTAACGAATTTTTCACTTCTCTGCGTCTGTTTATCAACTTCCGTATTTACGTAACTAACCGCACAGCCCTAGGCCAGGTGCGGCGCGAGGGACACGGATAGCCGGTTGAATTATATCGTTATTTCACTCCGATCGAGAATCGATCGTATATCCCGAGTACAGACGATCGGTCGCGCTAATATTAGCGTACCCAACGATATCGATTCGATTGTTTTATGCGTATTACTTGTTAGTATTGTGTTACTTATGTATATACGTATATGTAATTCTAATTAACTGTGGTATAAGATGTTAATTATGTTGTACATTCTCGGATAGCTGACAAATAGCATTGATACGAGTATATTGGGGTTGCTTGTGTAATATTCAATCCCAATTTACTATATTTATAAATAGTGCAATTAAGTGTAAAATAAATAAATAATAATTAAATAGGCCTATTATTAAAATTGTATAAAGATCTACAATTTTGTAATGACCTTTTAGCGAAAGTATTACGTTACAAAATATCAAGAAATAAATTTAATGTCTATAGAAGAAAAAGTCCGTCCCCGTGCGGCATAGAGTTAGCTGCGAGTGGTGGATGGCCAGCAGTGTCCCTCTTAAAACATCTCCAAAGCCTAACTACGGTTGCCAATTCGCCTGCCAAGCGTGGCAACTACTGGCAAAACCCCCCAAGGGAGAGGCTTATGTCCATCAAGTGGACAGTTAAAGGTTAATATGATAATAAGTTCTGACTTAAACATATATTTATAATATCAATTTACTTCCTTTCAATTTATTTATTAATTAAAAATAATTACAATATTTAAACAGCAGAAGCCAAATCAATGTTATAAATCTAATGTGTGTAACATACAAAATTATAATAAATGTATTTAATTTATTTACATCAATGTATGTATTAGTCCTTAGAATAACGATTTGACTATAATATGTTACGAGTAATAAGATATTTGTATATTTTCATTATCATATCAGCTATTATATGTCCACTGCTGAATATAGACCTCCCCATTGATTGCCATAATATTTTCATCATCATCATCATCATCATCATCATATCTGTCCACTGCTGAACCTCCCCATAGACTGCAATAAAGAATGGTTCTGAGCCACCTGCATTCATTGGCTCCCTGCAATGCAAATTGTATATTTTATTAACCCTTTATTAAAATGTTGTGCCAGTATAGATATTAATGAAATTTAAACGTAGATTAGTATTGAAATAAGCTATTTAATTTTATATTTTAATTTTTCTTAATGGCAATTCTTCGTGACTAATGCATTTTTCCTTTGTTTCAGGTGGATTTCACATACAGTACTGACTGAAGACAATCAGTCATGCGATAAGTACGATATTTTATCACGTTATTTAATTAGTTAATGATTTTAATTATTTTTCAATATTATTATTATATTTATTTTATAATAGGGCTTTTATAAATTTCGAAATCGAATCAGAAACAATGAAAATTTTTCGTTTTAATGGATTTTGTTTTGTATAGAACTAAAATCAATAACCTTTCTCTATCAAATTTTACCTATTATTCGGCAACAACCTACAACCATCTAGCGCCATCTAGCGGACATATGAACAACTAAAAATTAAGCCGACGATTAAACCGACTTAGAGATTTTCACTTGTTTGTTCAAGATGATGTATCTTTACTAGTATAGTATAGTATATAGTATAGTATCTGTACTATAACCAATTTCGAAACGAATTCTGAAGTGTACGTATTTCAATGAGTTAATAATTACATCAGATATTAGACAGAGTGATTCTTAACAAGTCATAAAACAACCGCCAGCATATTGCCTGAATAATAAAAAGCACTTACGATTTAATAGCTAATTAATTTTATAGCCGATGTAAACATAATCAAGATTGGACGATGACATAGCCGACAACGGCCATTAAATTATGGCGCTATAACTTTATGTTCCGGCTTTACAATGCAGTTAATTTTTCTTTTACTACCTTTTTGAACGTAAGCGAATCAATTGTACTTTTATAGAGTACTTGCAAACGGTACGTTTTAAAATAGCCTGACAATTGATAAGTGTATCCGTAAAGTTTGTATTTTTCTTTTTTTTTAATTAAAATTGGAACGTTTAATTTGAAAACTATTTTTTAATTTTTTACCTATTTTAATTTAATTATAACTTATATAAAATAATTGCTAATTAATTATGAAAGTTATATTTATAGAAATAAACTGATTTTTTGAATCAACTATAAATCATTGTTATATTTATATCTTCTATATATAATAGGCATCCCATTAAAGTTTGTCACAATATAGGTCTGATGTTGCGGTTTTGAATGGCAACGACCCCTATAGTATTAAGTTTCATATGAGAACTCAACTTACAAATTACTCTCCGCGGACCTGTCGACGACGGAGTAACAAATTCTAAGTTCATAACAGAGTCTCGTTTATCAAAACTTCAATATTATGTCCATTATAAATTTACCAATATGCACATTGATTTTACTTTATGTCAAAAAAGTAGAAATCATTTAAATAAATATAATAAAAAATATGTTACTAAATGAGAAGTTGCTAATCTCAAAACTCGAGAACCACTAGACCGATTTGGTTATTTTTTTTCAAATGTTCCTTGAAAATTCTTTAAAAGAGGATAATTGGAAAAATTTACTGGATGAAGGTAAAAACTCTATTTCTTCCTATGCAAATAGGCGTGGACGGACTACCACAATCCAATAATTTTTGTGAGAATGACTTCAGATCGCAATTTTATAATAATAATAATTCATCTTATAATTAATAACGATTATTAGTAATAATTATATATATTCTATATTCTATAATAATAATATAACCACCCAACCACTTGCATCACAATCTTCAATAAATAGGTCTACGGAAAATCTTTGCATCTCCCTACGAAAGACTGCCATATTAAACTTTTGCATAATTGTCAGACAATTCTTAGATATAGATAAAGATGAAATAGCCGCTCGCCATACACGCATATAACCTTTCTTATATAACATACACACTACATTTACTTTGTTTCATGACCAAGTAAGTATAATATACAACACAGTTCTAAAAACGAAGAAGTTTATAAATAAATAATAATAATAAGTAATTACAGTAAGTGGCATACAGTAAGATTACTCGCCTAGTTCTCAAACTAGGAGAAATCTTTATGTTATGAGAAATCAAGCGGCGAACATCTGTGGCCATAACCCAGAGCACTCAAACCGGAGCAAATTCAGAAACGCTCGTTTCTCAAATTGTCCCGGCCGGGAATCGAATCCGGGACCTCATTTACATAAAGCAACTTCCCCCTTTTCAGTACAGATCTCTTCCCATAAGGAGAGGATATTTGCTTCCTAATACTGCATTAGTAAGACTGTTTTGTACATAGTTATGTTTAAAGTTATCCATTTTTTGTGTTGTTTTATCATATTGTTTTTTTAGTCGCCCCCTTACGACATCTTGAGGATTTTTATGGTACCTAGAATGACAAACAAGTTTCCGACTCACCTCATGTAAAGAGATAACCATCGTGTATACATATGAACAGCACCGTGGACATAATGAAATCACTGTGATGTGGTATTGATAATACCCATGGCTAATCTCAAATATTCCATGATGATTTATAGAGTATTAAAAGTGACAATTTACACATACAGGTACAGATATATTTATACACAATTTACAAAATTATCAGTCCAATTTCATTTTATTATATCATTCACATTAAAAATTTGAAAAAATAGCAAGTATTCTATATTATAATAAATAACAATATTTAAAAGTAATATTCATTTATAGCAATAATAATTACATCACTTCAAGTTGTAATGTAGATAGAGTACGTAACGCACGTATCAGATTAGATAAATCAATTACGTAATCCTAACTTATATATATATATATATCTATATATATGGTATATTCTTTAGCAATATAAAGGTTGTAAGCCTCTTGGTAATATATACAAATAAAGCACAAGTTCTCACAGTTCATTTAATTTAGATATCATACTATTAAATCATATATTTACTTATTTACTTTGTATATGGGATATAACAAATAATATAACATAAATACCCAACTTCTGTTAATCCATTGACACTTATTTAACTATAGCTTCTTTAGGACTTCCATCAACAACAACTGATATATTTTATATAATGACCACGTGGTTCACTATACTTGTTCACTCTTGATACGTAAGGGAGCTCCGCTCTGTTCAACGATTGAATAAGAAGTGTCTCCCCACCCAAATGATAATCTTTTGTATCCACACGGCCGAATTCGAGTGAACAAGTCAGTGAAAGCACGTGTTCTTACAATTTCATTACTTTTTATTTAAGTATCATGATAATAAATAATCATAAAATCAATTAAAATATAAATTAGTGTTCTATGTACATTACAAGAATAATTTATTACCAAATTCGGTATAATAACAATTTTAATACTTTATTATATTTAAAGTAGTTACTTTGATTTTTATTAATAAATGTAGGTACACATTTTGACACAAGATGTTTAAGAAAATTAATATAATTTAAAATAAATATCTAACACGCGCGTGACATTCCTGGTGTTACAGACGTCTATAGACTACGGTAACTCTGTTTACCATCACACGGGTCATATGCTTGTTTGCCACCATATTAGTATAAAAAAAATAAGAATAATCAATTACGAAGCTATTTATTTTTAACCCTGACTCTAAATTTTTGTTATATTTTTAAGAGGGTAAAAACAATAAATCGACCCTAATTAATTTTCAAATAAGACGTAAATACATCATAAAAGAATAATAATTAATTAGGTTCCCATTTATCTTTTGTATCTCAAATTTGTTTGAGGAAAAATTAAATAATATTCCACCTGTATTTGTTTGTCGGTGGCAAAGGAAACCATAAAAAGGTTTAATTTCCAGAAACTTTAAATTAATAAAGAAGGTCCTTTATATATATATCATATATTAGGATTTTGGTATACCATGATACCAAAATCGGTGAAAATGTAGACAAATGCCGTTCATATGAATTTGGCAAACTCATATTTTGATCATTAATTATGAATAGATAGGAGCATAGATAGATTATAAAGAGCATATTCCTTTTTAAAAGGCCGGCAACACACCTGCAATGCCGTTGGTGTTGTTGGTGATCATGGGCGGCGGTAGTCACTTACCATCAATTGAGCCGCATGCTCGTTTGCCTCCTGTATTGTAAAAAAATATACAATTTATTTGCACTTTTCATGCTCAAAACTTTTAATCCCTTTTTTAACAAAATTTGTTAAAAATGAAACGACGGATTTTTAAAAATCCGTTTTATTTTCTTGTTTCATGTAAACCTATAAAGAATCTATTTTGTTAATTTGGCATTTATAATTTCATTTTATTATTATTTTAAATAATAATTATCATTTAAGTTTAAAAATATATAGCAAATCTTTAGAATAACCTAAATTAAATTAATTTACGTTCATTAGGTATGCTTTCTATTATGTATTGTATTACCTATTGACATACAAACTAAGACAAAGCTCACAAACATCGCCTATGTTTAGACGTGAAACACATCATCTTTATCACAGAATATTCTATTACTGATACCATTCATGTGGCAACACTCAGTCTAACTAAGATATTATGTATCCACTATCAGAGATTGCACTGCCTTTAAGATTTCACATTGATTGATACTTCGCTGTATTCTATGTAAGTCATTTGTACCAACCGTAAGGAATTACATAACTAACTGTCAACATTAATTCCATTCTAAATTCAAATATAATTAAGTAGTACACACAGTTTTTTTACATGGTTTATACACTACTGCACACTACACTATCCGCCCCGGTTTCGCACGAGAAAATAGATATGTAGACAGATAAATTAGTATTTTATATTACGAATAGGTTTAATAGGAAAACTTTTGATACCTTAAGCCACATTATAACAATTTTCGTAGGAAACTGTATTTTCTTTTAAATATATAGCCTATGTTAATTTAATTTTCTATATGTCAAAAAATTTTTGGAATCGGTTAAGAAGTTTTTGAGTTCATCCATTACAAATGAACATACGAAATATCAAGTCATTCCTCTTTGTAATATTACTATACTAGTTTTTACCCGCGACTTCATCCGCGTGGCTACAATATGTTTACTGACCGGGATAAAAAGTAGCCTATATCCTTCTCCGTCTTATGAAATACACCAAATTTTAGTTAAGCTAATGTAACAAACAAACAAACGTACTTTCAAATTTATAATATTAGTAAGGATGTAGATATAGATAGAGAACAGAGAGTATAATAATACAGCGTAACAAGCAACAGC